GGCTCTGCCATCTATTGGCTATGTGATGGGAGCAAGTTTGAGTGACTCGGTCTCTAGAGCTTACTTGCCTCCCCCTTCCCTCCCCAATCCTCCACTTACTTTTTATGAAGTGGAAATGTTAAATGTATCTTCAGAGGGCTTTGTAAGGATTAGATAATATGTATGTAAAGCGCCTGGCACATAGTAGGTGCTCATTATATGGTAGCATTTTATTATTTATTGTATTATTATTTGAAAAACTGAATGCTATTCTTTGTCAAAGAATCTATAATTGTGCATAGGTCTTCTGTGAGGAACATGATACGTAGTGAAAAATAAGATCCTAGGTTACAAGTCTGACATCCCAAAACAGGAATAAAGAAGAATTATGTACTTTATATGTGGATGGACTCTTTGGGTTGACTTTTCTAGGATTTAAAAAATTATTGTTATGTTAGAAGTTAATGGGAAACAGGAAGCATTAATGAGTATGGTTATTCACAGTTTTTTCAAAAAAGAAAACCATAGAAACAAATTAAAACTAGAAGTTACCAATAAACCCATATTATTCTACAACTTTAAAAATTACATAATGAAGTGAAAAATTTTCTATCTCTTTCAACTGCCATTTCTGCTCTGAGAGGCAACTACTATTAATAATTTGTTGTATATTCCTTTTTGTTTTTGTTTTTTACCCTATTAATATCCTGTGGATCTCTTTCCATTTCATTTTTTATAGCTCAGCTTGTAAAAAGTTATTTAAGAGCTTGAGGTATAATTTATATACCATAAAATCTATCCATTTTAAATGTATACTTCAGTGATTTTTTTATTAAATTTACACAATTGTGTAATCATCACCATAATCCAATTTTAGGACACTTCTGTAATCCTAAAAAGTTCCTTGTGCTTGTCTGTCCTTCGCCCATAGAAAACTCTTTATCTGCTGTCTATATTAATAGTTACTCTTTTTTAGAAATTATGTATAAATGGATTCATAAAAAGTGCATTCTTTTGTATCTGCCTCCTTTCACTTAGCATAATGTTTCCAAGATGTACTTTATGTTCTTGAGCATTTGAGTAGTTTGTCCTTTTTTTCCTTGCTGAGTACTATCCCATTGTGTGGATATACCATAACTTGTCTAACCATTTGGTGAAACCATGATGGATATTTGATTTGTTAACATTTTGGCGGTATTATGAGTAGTACTATATGAATATACACATACAAGTCTTTGTGTTGGCATATATTTTTATTTTGCTAAGGTAAGTATCTAGGTGTGAAATTGTTGGCTTGTGTGGTCAGTCATGTTTAAAAAACTGCCAAACTCCGTTTTCAAAGTGGCTGTATTTTACATTTCCACCAGCAGTGGAAAAGGGTTCCTCTTCTCCACAATTTTCTAACACTTAATAATTGTCAATTTTTTTTTATTCTAGCCATTCTAGTAGGTATGCAGTAGTATCTAACTGTAATTTTAAGTTGTATTTCTTTAATCACTAATGATGTTAGCATATTTTCTTGTGCTTATTGGCCATTTGGTGAAGTTTGTATTCAAATCTCCTACCCATTTCATAATTGAATTGTTTGTCCTCATTATTGTATTATAAGAGTTCTATATACAAGTCTATCATTAGGTATACGATTTGCAAATAGACAAGGGGTGTCCCCCGAAAAACCAGAATTTATTTATAAAAATTGTGTATTCTTACATGTTTAAACTTCAGTCACCTTCAGAGTACTCTCCATGTAATACATTAAACCTATCGAAATATTTTTTCCACTGCTTGAAACAGTTTTTGAATGCATTGATTTTGATGCCTTTTAGTGCTTCAGGTGTTTTTGTTTTACCTTTTCCACATCAGCAAAATGTTTCCCTTTGAGGACTTTTTTCATCAGGGAAACAAAGAAAAAAAGTCACTTGGGGGCAAGATCAGGTAAATAGGGAGGGTAGGGCACAGGGGTCATGCCGTTTTCGGTCAAAAACTACTGAACACTCAGCACGGTGTGGGCACGTGTGCTCATAAATCACCCATCATTGAAAGAGTTTTCAGAAAAAATTCACTGAAGCTAAATGCATCCTCTCACACCAGCACCAGCTGCAACACTGATACAGATGGGGTCCTAGAACACTCATCTAATGGGAGAGGACTGTGCCTCAAGGGGCCTGCCCTCCAGAAGGTAAATCCTTTTTTGCGGGGTCCTCCCTTGTAGTCCCCTGGTCTGAAGCTTATCTGCTCATTTTCTTAAGTTTCTTTTGAAGAGCAAAATTTTAAAATTTTAGTGAAGTCAAATTTATCAATTTTCAAAATGAGTTTTGCTTTTAAAGAAGTCTTTGTCAAACTCATGGTCAACAAAGATTTTCTCCTATGTTTTCTTCTACAAGTTTTATAGTTTCAATTCTTACTCTTAGGGAGGATACATTTTGAGTTAGTTTTTGTATATGGGATAAGTTAAGTCATTTTTTTTAAAATGGGCATTTAGTTGTCCTACCACCATTGCCAAATAGACTATCTTTTCCCCCATTGAATTGTCTTCACTCTTTTATCCAGTAACAGTTGACCATAAAGTTTTGGTTTATTTCTTATATTGCTATAAATGATTTATAAATTTATCCTTATGCCAATATCATACTGACTTAGAAATGGTAGTTTTCTAGTAAGTTTTGAAATCAGGTAGCATAAGTTCTCCAACTTTGTTTTTTCTTTTCATAAATTTTTAGGCTCATTTATGTCCTTTACATTTTTATGTAAGTGTTTGGAGTAGTTTGTCAATTTCTAAAATTGTCTGTTTTTTTTTGTAACTGAATAATATTCCATTGTGTAAATGCCCCATAGCTTCCCTTCGTGACAGCATGGGTGGACCTGGAGAACATTATGCTAAGTGAAATAATTCAGTCAGAGAAAGACAAGTATCATATGATTTCACTCATATGGAATCTAATAAACAAACTGAACTAAGAAGCAAAATAGAGACAGACTCATAGATAGTAGGATGAAAGCTATGGGGGTAGGGAATCAATCAAAAAGGAAAAAAGACTCATGGACATGGACAATAATTTGGTGATTATAGGGGGGTATATAATGGTGATAAATGGTAATGGAAAAAATACAATAAAAATTTAAAAAATAACCTGCTGTGATTTTAATAGGGGTAATGTAGAATCTGTAGACTAATTTGAGAATACTATTTTAACAATGTTGAATTTTTCATTTCATGAATATCCCCCATATTTCTCCAATTTCTAGGATTTTTTTGTAGCAATGTTTTATAGTATGTAGGGCATAGGTCTTAAACTTCTTTTAATAAATTTCTTCCTAAGTATTTTATTTTTTTGATGCTATTGTGAATGGAGTTGTTTTCGTCATTTCAATTTTGATAACTTAGTTGCTATTATATAGAAATACCCTTGATTTTTATGTTAGTCTTATGTCCTGTGATCTTACCAAGCTTGCTTATTAGTTCTAGTAACTTTTTAATTTTTTTTTTTTAGATTCCCTAGGATTTTCTGCACATGAGACCATGTCCTCTGAAAAATAAGATATTTTTATTTTTTATTTATTTATTTTTTTGATTTAAATTTCTTTTTCTTGCCTCACTGCCTTGGTTAGAACCTTTACTGCAAGACTAAATAGAAGTGATGAAAGAGAGAGTATTGTTGCTTTGTTATATTAGGGGAAAATCATTTTGCCATGCCATGAAGTATGATATTAGCTGCAGGTTCCTGTCGATGCTCTTAATCAGTTTTGGAAGTGTCCTTCTTTCCTGGTTTATTGATTGTTTTGGGGTTTGTTTGTTTTTTTTTCTTTTCCTCCATCTGTTGAGATGATCATTTGGTTTTTACTTGTGCTTTATTCTGTTTAATACATTAATTGATTTATGGATATTAACTACCCTTGTATTCCTGGGGTAACTAACACATGGTCATAGTGTATAATGCTGTTTAATATGTTGTAAGATTGATTTCTTAATGTTTTGTTAAGTATTTTTACAGCTATGTTCATGACAGTTATTCGTCTGTAGTGTCCCTTTTTTTTTTTTTTGGCTTGGGTATCAGGATAATACTGGCCATGTAAAATGTGTTGGAAAATGTTTCCTCTTTAACTGAATCCTGAACAAATTTTTTTTTTTTTTTTGGATATAATTTCTCTGTGAAGCCATCTGGTCCTAGAATTTTTTTAAATTTTTTTAGTGGGAATGCTTTAAGTACAATTTTGATTTTTAAAGTATAAATGCTTCTCAATTTGTCCTGTGGCTTTGGTCAATTTCTACAGCCTACCAAATGGTTGTTTTTAATGATCTTTTCCAGTTTTCTACTTATATTTTGCTAAGAGGATGTTCTGATCTATTCATACCACCACACCCAGAAATTGCTTTTCTTCTTTTTTTCTTTTTAATAGTTATATTCCATTTTACAGATGTGCCATAATTTATTTAATAGAAAATAGTTTTTCTAATTTTTAAATATATTCTTAAGCAGTGCTGCAGTTAACCTTTGTCTACAGATAACTTGCTTTGCTTATGCTGATAATTTGCTAAGATAGATTCCTAGAAGTGGGACTGCTGGACCAAACATAATGCATGTCTTACATTTTAACAAATACTATAAAATTATTCTTCAAAATTTGTACTAAATTGTGAGGCCCACTTCTCCATGTTTTGCCACTATGATATACTATTAATCTTTTACATTTTTGCTAACATGAAAAGCAAAAACTGGTATATTTTTATTTGGTATAGTTTATATTTTATTGAATTATATTAGAGTTAGGAATCTTTCTATATGTTCTTTATTTCTTTTTATTTTATGAAGTGATGTGTTGTGTCCTTTGCTTGATGTTCAATTAGATTGGTTGTTTTTTAATTTACTAATTGATAGGATCTTCTAATATTGAACTTTTGTCTGTTTTATGATGTAAATGTTTTTTCTGTTCTGTCATTCATTTCCTTCTAGTCATTACTTATTTTCATTCTTTTAAAAGCCTTGCATTCTAATTTATGTTTTTGTTTGTTTTTAAAACAGAAAGTTGTGCAAGGGATCGATTCAAACCAAATCCGAGGGCTTGGGTTTGATGCCACCTGTTCTCTGGTTGTTTTGGATGAGCAGTTTCGTCCTATACCAGTAAACCATGAAGGTAGGACCATTTCTCTCTTTTTCCCTGGTGGTGGGAGATTGGCCAGGGAAGACTTGGCTGATCAAGCCAAAGGGATATGAGTGGGATATGAGGTCACAGGTCTCCTACCACTGAGAGCGAGATTTAGGAGGGAAGCATGTAGGCCAGATGTCACGTCCAGAGGTTAGAAATTTGGTAGGAGTAGGGTGGCATCAGGGGCCTGGATTAGGGCGAGGTATGGCTCCATAAAGAACAAGAGCCACAGCAGAGAGCTTGATGAAGAAAGGACAGGGGATCATTAGCTCAGAGTGGGTAGCCTTGAAACAGACAAGTGGCCTGGGTTTTTTTTTAGGGAGGGAGTATCAGTGTCTGCAGTTGCTTTGCCTATGAAGCTCCTATGCCACATTCATTTGAGTGGGTGAGCCAAGTCCATTTGAAGGAAATAGAACAAGGCAGACAGGACCAGGTATCACACAGAAAAAGGGAACAGATGGCCTCTCTATTTTCAATAGCCAGACCAAAGGACATTCCCATATAATGACGTTGTTTAATAGACACTTGTGACTACTGTTCTTGTGACTGCACAAATGTAAAGTACCACTTGGGTTCACCATCAGAAATTTTTCACAGTGGGTGAGGTTGTGTCCCTTTTGGGGAATTTCATCGTTAGTCCTGAGGTTGAAACCCAGAAGGCTACACTGGTCAGGTTGGTAATGCAAGATGATAAACTTCAACTGAGACTTAACTTTTTAATGAGCAGAAATCATTTGGGAGTGGTAGAGATTTTGGTGTACCGGAAATTGAATCTAAAGGAGTGTGGCTCTAGGTGTTGTCAGTTGGTTGCTGCCAAGACAGCCATTACAAACATATTTTGGGCTAGATTATGTTTACGAACCCTAGGTATTGGCCGCTGCTGTAGCATTGTTCTTAACTGGTGGCTGTGAATATTGGGGCACACTGGGACACCCAGGAATTGGTGTCAGGTAGATCTTGGATTTCAGCCTGCCACTGCTGAACGGTGACAGGAACCTCTGCATGTCTCAGTTTTTTCCTCTGAAAGAGCTGGAAGAATGAAACAGTAGCTTTGCTTTGAACATTGAGAGCCTGACACCTGAATACTCAGAAAAGTTTGTTCTATCTAATTATGAATTCCTCAAGTTAAGAGACTGTGTCCTACTCACTTCTATGGATCTAATGTGTAGAACAATGATTTTTATAAATTACATGTGCTGAAAAAAGGACGCAAATGGATTCATGGCTCGAGCACAGGAGTAATGATGACCTTTTTACACACGTGTGCACACAATTTTTCTCCTTTTTGCTATATTTATTAGCACCTACTTTCTGCCAAACCCTGTTATTAAGTGCTGGGGCTTCGAAGATGATTATGAATGGTCCTTGTTCTCGCTGGCTTTTACTAGTTCAACTGGCATTATTCTGAAAGCAGAGACCAAAGGATGGGGCCAACAACCCAGCAGATCTCAGCTCAGCAGTAGCAGGCACTCTCCAGGTTCGAGATGTGTCCAGCCATGGAGCTGGCCATGTTAGGAGGCTGTCAGCACTTCCCTTATTGGCTTTTTTTTTTTTTTTAAAGATTTTTATTATTTTTAGAGAAAGGGAAAAGGAAGGAGAAAGAGCAAGAAAAACTTCAATGAGTGAGAGAGACATTGATCAGTTGCCTCTCACATGCCCCCAGCTGGGGTCCTAGGCCACAACCCAAGCATGTGCCCTGACTGGGAATCGAACCCATTACTTTTTGGGTTGTGGTATGATGTCCAGCCCACTGGGTCACACCAGTCAGGGCTAGCTTTTTTTAAGTAGAGTTCAGGTGATAGTCTGTTAGGGGTGCTGAGGAAGGAATTCTCATTTAGAGTGGGATTTCAGATATAAAAAGCCCTAGGTTTCAAGGACTCTATACTCCTTCTAATCTGCCAAAAATACATGTTTGTTTGTTTGTTTTTGTTTTTAAACTCTGGCTGTAAATCAGAATCAACTCATGAGCCCTGCTTCTCAAATTTATATTCAGTTGGCTTAGGGTGAGGGTAGGACATCAGCATTTTTGAATTCCCTCAGTAATCCTAGTATCGGAGGATCACTGAGCACAGATGAACGGACAGTTAAACCATCAGGAACAAGAACACTGAAGTGGCAGATGGGAATTCCTTGTCATTTCTGCTTAGATATGTATCCTCTCTGGATGCCATCTTTTTTCTCATTGTAGGTCGAATTGCCTCCTGTTAACAGGCCTTCTATTAATAGGGTAGCTAGGTTGCAACCCTAATTATAAGTGTTGAAATAATTTTATTTCACCTAAAAGGTTAAGATGTACCCATTCATCAAATGCATTCAGCTGCCCCTCACCCGTTTGTTTCCTTTCAACAGGTTCTATTAAGGTTAGATTTTATCTGAAATAGATTATCCTGTGTTAGAAAATAAAATTAGAACTTTAAGGGTGGTTTAAAAGTTTTTTAAAGACTGCTGCTACCCACCTGGCAGTGACCAACTCTTGATTGTTAACTGGAGTATTCATGAGGCGCAGGGAGCGGAGTCAGGAAATTAACCATCGCCATTAAAACTGAACCTACTAAACGGGCAAAGCTGTTACCATCTTTAGATATTAACCCTTCCCTGAAAAAACCCCCCAAAATAACAACAAAAAAACCAGAAACCCCAAGCACAAATATATTTTAAGTACAATAGCTTAAGAACACCATTCATTGCTATATGATGAAATAGCCTCATTGTGAGGCCTTTCTTGTTTGATCTTTCTTCCTTTGAAGACCAGAACAGCCCGTGGGTTGAACAGTGGCGCCACGCTGCCTGCTTCCTCTCTCTGCAGCATCCAGCTGAAAGCATAGCTGTGGGTGGGTCAGCCCAGCTACTGGAGCTCTCGGAAGGGAGGGAGACCAAGGGGCGAGGGAAGGAGTTAACTACCTAGGCTACTCTGCAACAGACACCTAATGCTTCGATGCTGTTGCCGATGCATAGTAGTAATTTTTTCCTCCTCCTGTGAGATGTTCAAACTATTAACTTTTTATACACATGGATAACTTATCTGCCCACAGGTAAACTGACTGCAGGCATACCTGGGAACTTATTGCCCGTTTGGTTCTAGATCATTGCAATAAAGTGACTATCGCAATAAAGCAAGTCACATGAATTTTCCAGTGCATATTCAAATTACATTTATTCTGTAGTCTATTAAGTATGCAATAACATAAATATCCAAAAAAATGAATATACCTTAATTAAAAATACTTTATTACTAAAAAATGCTGACCATTATCTGAGCCTTCAGTGAGTTGTAATCTGTTTGCTGGTGGAGGGTCTTATCTTTCATTTGTAAAAAATGCAGCATGTACAAGGTACGGAAAGGCGAAGTGCAATAAAACGACGTATGCCTCATGTAACCTAAAGTCTGCTCTACCAAACTGCCTCCAATTCTCTTAGAATATGACATCTTCTTGGGTTTGTGCTCAGTTTGTATAGAGCTTCCTTCCCTATCTGTGTACCTGGCTAACCAATGGCCATTTTTTTAGAATGAAATTAAAGCTTTTCTGACTCTTGAAAGCTCTCTGTGCATCCTCAGGCCCAGCGATCTAGTGCCTTCCCTGTGCTCCTCCTCCTGTGTGTTCTCATGCCCAGTAATTCTGGCAGTTGGCATACCATATAGACCCTTTTTGTTCATTAAACCACATGCTTTATAAGGGCAGAGACTGTGGCACATTCTTCTCAGTATCCCAGCACTGTGCCTGGTGTGTAGTAGATGCTCAATAATAGAGTAAATGAATTTTCAGTGGGGTCATTTATTTGTGGTTTTCTACAAGAACCAAAAAAAGATTAACTTGCCAGTTGTGTCTAAAATTAAAAATTAATAATCATAATAAGTACAATAAAGTACTTGAGTCTGCACGGTTCTCATTGTGTCATTCTGACCGCATGTTGAGAGCCTTTCCTGTAGAGGCAATACTAGCTGATTGGTTCTTTTTTTTTAAAAAAAAAATTCTTTATTATTTTTTTTCCACTACCATTTAGGCCCCTTATTCTCCCCTTCCCCCAGCAATCACCTCACTGTTGTCCATAGTAGCAAGTTTAGTGACAGGTGTGTTTGTCTTCAAGCAGCTGCAAATATGTCCTGTACAATATTTAAGAAGCAATACGATATTGTTCTCCTCAAAATCCACACACCCACACACGTGCATGTTTGTGTGCGGGCACAGTCCAACATTCTGATTGGCTGACAAATCTGGAAGGGGACGTGGACAACAGGATTTCTAAAGTTATTTAGGGATTCTTTGTGCAGCCAGGACTGAGAATGAGACCTTTAAGCAACTCTATTATGCAGTAGGAAAACTCAGGTGGTTTACCAGATCTGAGGTGTACCTGTGGGAGGTCTTATATACTTTTTCTTATTTTCAAAGTATTATTGTTTCTGGAGGAGCTTTTGTGGGCCCTGAAATCTTTCTGGGCAGGCAACCCAAGTGACTGAGTCCTAGTCTCCTTATGGTGATGATGATCTAATTTACACATTTTGTTAGCTTGACCTTTTTTTTAAGTTTTAAAAATTCTTTTTCAAATATATGTAAAATAAATAACAGCCTGCTATGTATCTACTATTAAGGATGGACAGATGAAACTTTGCTGTATTTGCCTCAAGTCCTCCCCCCTCTTTTTTTTCTTCAAAGAAAGAACTACTCGAAACTTTAGCCCTTGCCTTCTCCCTCCGGTGCTCCTCTGTCCAGCAGGTGACCATTCTGCTATGGTTGGTGTTTACAAACATGTTGTTTCTGTGTTTTTACCACATATGTATGTATCCTCAACAACAAACTATATATGTATATCATGTTTAAAAATGTCCCAGCTGGTATCATTACTCATGTTGATATGTGCAACTCCAGTTTATTTGTTTTAGCAATTTATCCTGTCTCTGCACAGACCTGTTTTTAAAGCATGCTTCATGCTTTTCCCAGCTGTGATATAGTAGACGTGTGTTCACCTTCAGAGTCAGTTTGCCATTGAAAGCGACTGAAATCAGAGGATTGTTTTGGGAATTAAATGAGATGGGGTGTGTAAAATGTTCAGCAGGGCTTGGCACACACACATATGCACTCTCATACACAGAGCTCTATAAAAATTTGCTATTAGCAAAGTTACAGATGTAGTTGCTGCAATTATTTTGTCATTAACTAAAATCATGTGTGAAAGTACCTGGCTCAGTTACTTTTGGGTTCCCTTTTATCTTTCTTATCTCCCAGTCATATGTTCTTTGCATTTTGCCATTTGAGGAAATAGAGGGCTGTCAAGAGTACTGACCGGCTTGCCCATCAGTAATGATGAATTGACAGAGGCTGGGGATGGGAGAAAGGGATGGTCAGTGACTGTGTGGTGCGAGGTGGTAAATGTTGGATGTAGGGGCAGTACCTATGCTCCTTTTATTATTATGAAATATTATTATCCCCATTTTGTAGATGAGGATACTGAGGCTAAGAAAAGTTTAGAAAGTTTCTCAGTACATCTCTGCTTATAACGGAGTAAGCATCTCCCATTAGATCTGCTTGATTCCCAAACTTGTGTGCTTCCCACTCCACCAAAATAACCCAACTGAGAGAGGGAAAAAACTTAAATTAACTGATTTTAATTAAAGTGACTAGAAGAAGGTTGAATATAGGCAGATCAAAGCCATTGTGTAGATGTATTAACACTGTTGAAATATTTGTCCGTGTTTAAAGGAGACAGATCTTGAACCACCAAAGTATTGTTCTAGGCTTATTTCACAGGCTTTTTTCCTGAATATATGCCTAGAAAAGTTTTTCTGGAACAGAAGGGAGAGGAAAGGAAGGGAAGAAGTTGAGAGGGAATGAATGATAATATAATTTGTCGGGAGATCTTGATTGGTTTTAGTGCAGAGGTTTAACCCTGGGCGCTGTAGTCAAAGAACGCATCTCTTGAAGGGAAATCCAAGGTTTGGGTAGAATGTTCACTTGTTCCTTATAGATGGGTGAAATTCTAAAAGCTGGATAGCTCTTTGCCCTTTGGAATCCATAACTGTCCTTGAATTAGAAGGATAATAATGTACATGTGTCTTTTTATTTTATCAAACTATAGAAGGAAATTTATTTAGAAAGTCACAGAGGAAATTTATTTACAAATTTATGTAGAAAGTCACAGAGGAAGAAGTGAGTGGAAGAAGAAATGGGTTCAGGAAACAAGTTACTGAGGCAAAAGAAGGGCCCTTGGAGCTTAGGAGAGAAAAGGGTAATTCTCCTGAGGGGAAGGCGGAGGGGAGGGCAGGGGGCTGGCAAGCTCCGAGGAGGAAGAGAGCCATGCACACGTGTCTTCATTGCCCTGTTTCTGCTAGGGGATTCCCATCGAAACATCATCATGTGGCTGGACCACCGAGCAGTCAGTCAGGTGCACAGGATCAACCAAACTCAGCACAGCGTCCTACAGTATGTCGGGGGTGTGATGTCTGTGGAAATGCAGGCCCCAAAGCTTCTGTGGCTAAAAGAGGTGAGTGCCTAGAGTTGGGGAGAGGATACTAATACAGTTGAACAACGGTGCCAATGCCCCACGTAAACGTGTAACTTTCAACTCTCCCAAAACGCAAATGCTAATAGCCTACTGTTGACTGGAAGCCATACTGATAGCATAAAGAGTTGGTTAGCACATATATTATATATTATATATATTATATACTGTATTCTTATAATAAAGTAAACTAGATAAAAGGAAATGTTATTAAGAAAATCACAGTGAAGAGAAAATACACTTATTAGTGCTGTACATATTTATTGAAAAAATCTGCATATAAGTGGACCTATGCAACTCAAACCTGTGTTGTTCAAGGGTCAGCTGTAATAGCAGAGGATTCCATTCATTGTGGATTTGTCTGTACCAGGCACCCTGCTAAAGTCCATTACGTTTGATTTTTCCCAGCAACTCTCTGAGGAAGGTTGATCCCATTTTATTGATTAGGTTGCAGTTAAATCACTCCTGTTTTCTTATGTTTAACTCACGCAAGGCAGTGTGATACATGTTTAACCCAGATGATCACTTTGAATCTTAACAGCAATCCTCTGAAGGAGGGCTTCTTTTACTTTTTTGGTGTGTGTTTTATAGAGAAGAATGCTAAAGCTAATAGAGATTAACCAATTCACCCAAAGTGGCACAGTAAGTATGTGACAGAGCCAGGATTTGAACCCAAGAATGGCTGTCTCTGAAATTGGTTGGTTCTCTTAATATCCAGTACTCTGCTAAGTTCAGAGAGGTTAGTTACCATTCTAGTTAGAAGGTGGCAGAGCTAGGATTTTAATCCAGGTCTCCTGACCAAAACCTTCTTTCTCTGCACACTTTTAGCCCCAAGTGTTTAATATCTGGCTTTGGTGGCATTTTAGAGTATTCCTCTCCTATCTCACCTGAACTTGAGTTTCCGTGTCCTTGAGTGATATGGTGATTGCTGGTCAAAGCATGTGCAGGTGATTCCCATTCCCAGATGTGAGGATCCTTTGTGAAGTGTGGAGAGTGGTGATGTCAGCTTAGTGGTTCCCATTAGAGATGGATGTGTGATGAAGTTCAAGTCTTCTGGGAACCTCAGGGACTGGAAAACCCCAGGTGGTCTGATGAGGAGAGAATCCTTCTAATGAATAAGACCTGGCATGATTTATTTAGTGTCTCTGCTGAAAATGTATGCGAGGACAGGGGGAGTTTAAGGGTGCTGAGAAGGAGGCCCTGGATTGCCCCCAGGGAGCAGAAGGAAGATGAGCAAAAACGGTGTCAATAATCTGATCAGGCTTGGCTTGCTATCTGTTTTGTATATATAGCTGTTTTGTGAGTTTTAATTTTTAGAAAGGCTTTTATAGTTCCTATAGTTCAAAAACATAGGGTGTCTTAGGAGTTGGGGATTCTTAGGATTCTGATTTGTCTCTACTAACAGCACATTGTGTGACTGTGGGCAGAGCAGTTCTCACCCTAGACATCATTTTTTCCATCTATGACATTTGAAAACCTGATCCAAACATATGCTGAAATACAAATCGGGATATAGAGCTGCTCTTCCCGGCCCCACGCTCTGCTGTGTGTTCTGTGGGCATTACTTGATTTATCTCCTAACAAGCTGTGCCTGGTAGAGAACATGGGGGACTGAGGCTAAGAGGGAGTGTTAGATGCCTTTCCCAATAGATGGTCGAACCAGAATTTAAACCCATTTGTACTGGGCTTCAAACCCAACTCATCCAATCATGTGACACAGTGCTAAAATCCCTCTGTATGGGTGCTACTTAGGGTAAGCCCAGGAAGGAGGGCAGGAATTTCTTCAAGCCAGCCTAAATATGGTGCAAGAGAACAAAAAGATTGGCTATATTATCCTTCTTGGCCACAAGTAAGGAAGAGTTGTACTAAATTAAGTGAGGAGGTTCAGGCAGGCGGTCATTGGTGCACCATCAGGGCCTTATTGAACACCTACTTCATGGCCAGCTCTGGGCTTTATGACAAGATCTAAATATATGTTCAACATGAACCTTTCAGGATACTTACCATAGTGTACTTGAGGTCAAAATGCACTAAATAAAGTCCATAGAAAATGAAATTCTAGATTGCGTGACACTGAGTGTGATTTTTTTAAGACCATCCATCCAACCATTCATCCATCTATCTAACCAATTCCATTTCAGAATTTTCTGAGTAAGCCTCTAAATACTGCTTCCTTCTGTATTTAACTACCTGAAGGTTGAACCTTGAATCGTTTGAAAAAATTTTAAATTTATTTTTATTTCTTTGGTAGGTATGCACAGGAATCGTTGCTGAGGATCCCTTTGGTTTAGCTGTGATTACAAATTGAAAATCAAAGCTATTTCTAAAATCTGTTTTAGATCTCCTTACAGGCCTGACCAGGCCGACTTATAATGCTTCTCAAACTTCAGTGTGTAAATGAATCACATGGAGATCTTGTTAAACTGCAGATTCTGACTTAGTAGCCTTGGGGTATAGAGTGAAAATTTGCATTTCGAACAAGCTCCCAGGTGTTGCTGATTTGCTGTCCTGCAGACCTTTGAAACCACTTTCAATGCTAAAGGCTCTGGAGAATCAGTGAACATTGTTTTTAATGGGGTAACGGGAGGGAGGCCGAGGCACAGGGAAGTTAGCTAGCTTCTGTAGAGCTAGCTGTTCAACTGCACATTTAAAGACCGAACGTGAGACTCTTGTGTGCCGGGTTCATTGGGCTGTCATATGTTTACTCCTTATTCATTCCTTAATTTGCCAAATTTTAACTGAGCTCCTACTATGAACTGGTAATGTGGTAGGCATCAGGGACATGGCACAAAGAGGACACAGTCTTTCCCTCAAGTGACAGAGAGGCCATTGGGGATAATGGTGGGGGTGCATAAGGAAGGAGTGGGTGGAGGGAAGAGACATGAAAGGAGCCAGGGGAAGGTGTGCTAAGCACCATGATGCAGGAGTATGCAAAGTGCTTTCTGAGAAAATAATTTACTTCCTGGAGGAGTTGAGATGAGCCTCAAGATATGAGTGGAGATTTTGCCTAATAGAGAAGACAGGAAGGATATTCTAGAGAGAGAGAGAGAGAGAGAGAGAGAGAGAGAGAGAGAGAGAGAGAGAGAGAGAGTATGGCTCATTTATGGTAAGGTAAGTGGGTCCCAGGACATGAGTTTAGGATGCTTCCCTGAGTGTAGCAGGAAATTAGGCTGGGGCTCAGTTCGTTAAGGACTTATTTGGTGATGGAGCTTGGTTGATGGTTTTTAGCCAAGGGGTGAGAAAATGTGTGCGTTGGGAGAAGAACTTGTTTTCTTTCCTCATTATAGCACTTTGTTGCCTTTGCTCTTAGGATGAGTTCCAAAATTTGTATCATTGCCCAGAAGATGGTATGTGGTGTCATTTTTGCCTCCTCTGTGCTTACTGTGTGTTTCTTAACTTGCTCACCCTAGTCCATCCACAAGGGTCCCTTTAGGGTGCCTCAGACACACTCAGTTCTTAGTACTTTAGAATCTTGACTAGGGCTCAGGACCACGGGCCCAATCTGGCCTACTGCCTGTTTTTGGATGTCCTGGGAGCTAAGAATGGCTTTTGTATTATCAAATGATTGAACAAGAGTCAAAAGAAGAATAACATTCTGTGACTTGTGAAAGTTATATGAAATTAAACTTTTAGTGGCCATAAGTAAAGCTTTATTGGAATACAGCCACCCTCATTCATTTATGCATCATCTGTGGCAGCTATTGCATTATGGTGGCCGAACTAAGTAGTTGAGACAGAGACTGTATGGCCTGCAAAGTTGAGAATATTTACTCCCTGGACCATTAGAGAAAAAGTTTGCTGATCCCTGGTATTGAGGATGGGATGTTGTGCCTTCTGCCCCTGAGTATTAGCTTTCTACTCACCACAGATTCTAACTCATCATTTAGGTTTCAGCTTTATTGTCACTTCCTTAAAAAGCCTTTCCTGACCCTCAGATAAATCACTGTCTTTGCACTCTTAATTTTACTTCATTGTATCTTTCATAAATTGTAATCATATGTCAAATGATTACAAATCATATACAAATCATGATTTGTATGATGCTTGCCTCCTCCAACCATTGTAATCCACCGCAGGATGGATATCATATCCATTTTGTTCTTTGCTGTGCTCCACTCCTAATCAAATACTTGACACTTAGAGGTACTCAATACCTATTTTTTTCCAAATAGAGTGGCCCAATAAGGGGCTGTTGCAGTGCTCCAGGTGATGAGCAATGAGACCTGAATTAGGCACTTAGGGATGGAGAGGAAATGGGCTCCAGAAATCCTAAGGGGAATATCAGCCGGACATTGAGACTGATTGGCTGTGAGGGGTGGGCTGGATGGAGGAGTCAGAGCCTGAACACTCACTTCAGTATTGCTGCCATTCACGTGCTCTGTGTTCTTAGCCTGGAACCAGGTGTCAGAAGGAGTTGGGCAGAGTTAAGAGTTCAGACTTCCCAGAAGACAGAAGTCATGGTCTAGGACCACCATAGCTCTTGGGCAAAGTCACTTGGTCTTAGTCCTGCCATATGGAATTTTAATCATACCCTTTATATTTAAGGTTTATGTGCTTCAGGTTGACGTATGTCTCCTTAATAAGAATTGTCAGATAAAAGGAAAAATGCCATTTGAATTTTTCATAACCCCCAGCAGTCTGGTTTTTCCATTTGGTCTCAATGATTCTGACTCTCATCTTAATGAAGGCCAAATGTAAATTAAGTTCTGTCAGGCTGGAGCAGCTGGAGTCTCCTATCTTTATAAACATGAAACATTGTGGAGTAACAAGGTGCAGACTGAGGAAGGTCAAGAAAGTTAACGGGCTGATGCCAATCCTGACAGCTCAGTGTTAATGGAAGATAATTAGCTGGCTTGTAGAGACTGCATGGAGATAGGCCAATGGTCTTTTGACTCATTTCCTATGTTTGCCATTGTCAGCAGAGTAGAAAGCTAAGCATGTTCTAGTTTGAGATTTTCATTGTTTATTCCAAAGGTCTGGAA